AAATCACATCCTGCTAGCCCTAAAGTAGGGCCTCCTCTCTCACTGCCCAGGATCTGCACACACTGGTCCTACAGTGGTCATCCTGGCACCACCATTGTTCCTGGGTTTCTGAAGTGGCAACTATCTGTGTGAAACTGGCTCTTGGCTTTCTCCCTCTGGATAGGATGGAATTGTCCTGCTGGAGTAGAGGAGTCCACAGGGCTCTTTCCTCTCCAATGTCTGGGCCAACCCTTTAGCTCCTTCCTTAGGCCATGGCTGGTTTTGGTTTTCCAAGGGTATAAATGAGGAAGGAAAATTCACAAGTGCTCAAAGTAGTATAAACACACAAACTCACAGCCTGGAGTTACCAGCCTGACACACAGCCTGCTATCGAGACTCTAAGAGATGCTTTTCTTTTATTCTTTTTAAAGGCTGCTTGAAATTTATGATTTTCTACTTGGTACAAGGCAAACAGAGCTATCTAGGGAGTTAAGAAGGCATGCATGTGACTTGACAGCAAAGTGTGTGGTTCTTGTCTTCATTCTTGGTATTGTTGTTGTTTTTATAAAAATAATGTGATAGGGACTTCACTGGTGGCTCAGTGGTTAAGAATCCGGCTACCAATGCAGGGTACACGGGTTCAAGTCCTGGTCTGGGAAGATCCCACGTACCACGGACCAACTAAGCCCATGAGCCACAGCTACTGAGCCTGCGCTCCAGAGCCCGCAAGCCACAACTACTGAGCCCGCGAGCCACAACTACTGAAGTCCGCACGCCTAGAGCCCACGCTCCACAAGAGAAGCCACCGCAATGAGAAGCCTACGCACCGCAACAAAGAGTAGCCCCCACTCGCTGCAACTAGAGAAAGCCCGCATGCAGCAACAAAGACCCAATGCAGCCAAAAATAAATAAATAAATTTATATATTAAAAAAATAATAATGTTATAATTCATTTACTGCAGCCTGGTTAGTCTATAGGGGAAGGAGGGGGAAAATGGGGGAGGAAATGGGCTCTGCCTCCTAGCATATTTAAGTAGTGGTCTGCCCCTGTTCATATTTATGTGTGTGTGTGTGTGTGTGTGTGTGTGTGTGTGTGTGTGTGTGTGTGTGTGTGTGTTTGTGGTGGGGGGATGGGGGCATAAGGGACCCTGTCACTCAGGAGGGGCTTTTGCCAGGCTTGGTGCCTGATCATTTCCTCATGGCTTCTGAGCCAGGTTACAACAGATAGTGCTGCAGGTGGTTTGGGGCATCCTGAGTGCCCTGGGGACTCCAATACAGTGGTCCTAGGCAGGAAAGTGAATTTGTTGATGAAGATACCTCACCAGAGGCCTGGATCCGCCTAGGGAAGACCTGGAAGGGGGTCCATGTGTGCTGTGTGTGGTAATTAGGCCCTGAGGGAGATACTATAGGGGATGGCTGCCATGTTTTCTGACCTGGCTTGAGGGAGGGGTGCCAGGACCACTGCAGAAAAGAACACAGGGCAATACTCCAACCAAGAATGCTGGAGGACTTAACGTTGTGCTGCATCCTGAAAGGCTAGTGTCCATGAGAGAGGGAGGAAGGGCATCATGCCTCCACCTTGTAGGCTCTGCTCTCTCATTCCCCACTCAATGAACATTCAATAAGTACCCACTCTCTGCCAAACACAGCTGGGCACTGAGAATCCAGAAGTGAATAAGGCAGTCTCTACCCTCGGGAGCCTGAAGTCTAGAGGGGGAGAAAAATAGAAACACATAATTGCAGCACAGGTAAAGAAAGATCTGACAATCAAAATATGTATGAGGTGCCATGGGAGCCCTGAGGCATTGCCACTAAGGAAGCCTCAGCTGAGACACAGAGGCAGGAGATCTGAGCTTCTGGGCTTTGCCTGACTCAAAAGCCATCCCAACTGCTGCCCTGGGTGGGAAAAGGATCAGCAAGGAAGGAGATGGTTGCTGTAGGGAGCACTGATAATGTTCCTGCCAACATATGCCCAAGATGATAAAGCATGTACCAGCCCACTCTCTTCCCTCTGCACAGAGCTGTCCAATACAGGGAGGTAAAGAAAGTCAGCGACTTCTTAACTGAAAGACTAAAATACAACTTTTGTGATCTTAAGCCAACTCTCCAAGCCATGGGATCCTAACAATCAGTAACCCAGCAGCACAATTCTGGGGAGAAAATCAGAACTCCTGGGCAAAAGGGGAAGTGAGATTTGAAACATGAACAGGTGGAATAGGTCCTGGTCCCAAAGGAGCCAGGAGCTTTCTGAGTCAGACACCAAATGCCCCAAGGATCCGGGCTCCAAGAGAAGTAGCAGGGGTAGCCACTGCCACCACTGAGTAGGAGCCCCGACAGTGCTGGCTACCATCCCAAGGCGATCCAGGCCCAGACACAAACACCATCCATACACAGCTCCCCAGCGCCTGGCCAGAATACGCACTCTGTCTGGAAAAGGAGGGGGCTGACACTCCCAGCCATGGCACTCAGGTGCCTGCTGAGTAGAAGAGGGGAATTTGACTGGGATGGTGGAAGCCTGCAAAAAAGAAACCACACTAACCAGTCCCTAAAGGGGGGATGGGAAGACAAATGACCCCTGGTCTGGGCAAGCAGCTCTTCATCTCCAGCTGGCCTTGTGTGGAATAAACTCTGCGGCTCTGGACCTGGGGGGAGAAGTGGCTGAAAGAGTATTGTCCCCTGGGAAGGTCAATGTCCCAAGGATACCGGGACACAAAAAAGATGCATCCTTAGATCTAGCCTCAGCTCTTGAAGGAAGAAAACAGTTCCCAAAGTGATGCATTCATCTTTAAACAGTTCACAGAGGCAGAAAAAAATGTCTCCTTTAGAGGAGAAAGCTTAAGGACAGAGAGACAGATATGGCTTGCGGTCACACAGTAAGTGGGTGCCAGAAAGAAACTGGGCCTCTTGTCCTTCAGTGTGCCATTTCTAGTGCCAATGACTTCTTATGAGTCTAAAGTAGGGCCGAGAAGGGGCTCTCCTCTAACCTGGGATGGTGCCAGCTTGGTTAGCCAGGTCCTCTGACCCTGAATGAAGCATTTGTACCAAGATAAATGGGTATATGGAGCCAAACTCTCTCCCTTCCTGCGACCTCCCAAAGTCATTTATCTGGCAAAAGGCTGGTGGGGTAGAGCGGGGAAGTCCAGGAAAATTACTGAGAACACAAGTGTACCAGATGATCCCAGCTGTTGTAGCTGGGGAGCACAGATAAGAGTGAAGTGCCAAAGGCTCCAAAGAAGACGCACGCAAAGCCTTGGTTGATAGAGGAAGTTAGAGTGAGGACCTGAGGTCCCTGGGATGCGGCGCTGGCTCTGAGGATGGCATGCATTGGCCTGGGACACTCAGTGAGCATGTAAGAGGGTTCTCAGGAACTTGCTTTTAGGTGGGGGGTTCCCCTTAGGACATCCCCCAGCCTGGCAGAGTGGTGGTGAGATTTTCTTCCGTTCTCGCCTGACCTCCAGCTGAAACAGAACCTACACCATGGAACTTGTGTTGACTAGTTAACTACTAATACTGCTAACACCCCAGCCACAGTAGCAGCCATCTGGGCCAAGGACTTCCCCTAGAGGCACTGTGGTTCAATAGAAAATATCACCAGATCAAGCCCACTAACCAGCTGTTGGACTAGGATAAAACAACATCTCTATGCTTTGGCTTTCTCATATATAAGATGCGAGTACTGGACAAGATGTCTTCCAATTTTTTTTTCCAGTTCTAAAACTGAGAATTTGTTAGGAGTTCAAACTTCATTTCTCCCAGTACAATGGCTGAGAATGAGCTGTCATCACCACCCTCTGGGATTTCTCTCATTTTTCCCAACGGGCTAGCACTTATGTACTTTGTGTCTGTTCACACCACGGCCCCTGTGAAACCTTTCCAGCAACTGGCTTAGCTGCCTAGTCTGCTCCCTCTCCTAGGAAACGTATTTTAGACTCCTCCCTCCTGCAAGTCTGAACTTTAGGTCTCAGGCAGAGGTGGGCAAGCACAACAGGCTCTTAGAGCAGCAGCTCTGGTGTAGTTGGTGCTGGAAGAAAAATTGGGGAAAGGGGGTGGATCTCCCAATGTTCTCAAACCCAGAGAGGCTCAGGGACTCTCTAGACCTGAAACAGGATTGAGCTAGCATTTCATGATCTGGTCCAGCTGCATTCTCAGCTCCAGCGGAGTATTTCTGGCATCCTTGATCATGCTGGATTTTTATGGAGGAGGAGACTAAGGTCTACAGAGGTGAACATATTGCCCAGGTTAGTCAAGTCAACAATTAACGGCAGAGTGGGGATGAGAATCTAGGCAGCCCCGGTCCAATATTTTTTCTACTTTTCCAGCCCCAAGCAGAAGATTCTGAAAGGACCCCTGGACTTCCAGCCCAACACAGGGTCTATTTAAAGAAGCTGAAGACTGCCAAACTCCCGGGGATGGAGCCTGGTCCTGAGAAAGGTGGGGCAAAGTTTGGGACAGTTCTGGGAAAGACATCCACACCTGGAGGCTCTTCCTGTCCTTTCTCAGCCTTTGGAGGGAGGAAGGGCAGCAGAGGCCTGCAAAATGAAGAGATGAAAGCCCCTTAACTCATCCTCTCTGAGGTAAGGGAGAGGGAAGGTTTGGGTTTCCCTCCTTCCTCTTTCTTCTTTGCCAGCAGGGCCACAGCCCCCAAAAACCCCCTAATCATGAGTGTGTCAGTGGGTCTGCCTTGGGCCAACAGGAAAACCCGCTCCTGACGCTCAAAACCACCTTTTTGGCCTGACACAGACCCTCATCCGATGCCGAGAGGAGAATACCCAGAAGTCTGCACTGAATCCCCTGCGTATCCCCCACCCCAACACGCTCTGCAGACAAGGAGCCACTGTGGTGTCTCTGCCTAGGATAAATTACCCCAAAGTACGGTCTTCTCAGAAAACTCGGCAGTGCCGCTCACCACGTTCGCCTTGAACCGGGCATCCGGGGACGACCTCTGCTCAGCGCGGGCAGCCCACTCAACCCTCCAGGGGGTGCCCTGCAGCCCAGGGGCCCCCACGAGCCCCGAGCCTCACCCAGAAGAGCATGTTGAAGAAGAAGAGCAGGTATTTCACCAGCGGACTGACGAAGGAGAAGTCCTCCCCGTAGGCGGCCGGCGCCCCGGGTCTCCGGGCCATGGTCCAGCCGCCGCCGCCCCCGGGGGCCTATCTCCCCGCCACGGCCGGCCCACCTGAGCGCTCCGCGCCTGGAGGCATGAGCCGTGCCACGGCCGGATCCTGAGCGGCGGGGGAACTGCGCTGCGACGGGGGGTGCCCGCGCCGTGCCTCCGGGAGAAGCGCGGGCAGGGGAACTGCGCCGCTACTGGAGCTGCCGGGAGTCGCGGGGGCTGTTGCGGGAAGCGTGAACGGCAGACTCTGCTGTGGCTGGAGGACTAGCCCGGCCCGCCGGGCTCCCAGGAAACCGGGCCCGCCCTCGACCTCCCATTGGCTCGTCTGCCGAAGCCTGATTTCTCATTAGTCGGTGTCTGATGTCACTAAGTATCCAACCATCCCTCTTTTCCAAGAGGCGGGGGAGACACCTGTTCTGTGAGGCACAACTTGTTAAAGGGTCAGCGGTTCTACCTCCTCCCCCGAGAAGGAAAGCATCCAGGCTGCAGCTACTCAAGGGAAAATGGATGAGGAGGAATGCACACTGCATCACGCACCCACGTCCTCTACCCAGTTGCTGTGCACGTATGCAAACACACATACATTAAAATCAACAAGTACGTACTCTGTATGTTGAGCAATGCACTGAAAGCTGTGGGAATGCAAGAGAATAGACATATCCCTGGGTGTGTGTGTGGGGGGGGGGCGGAAATGACAATAAAATAAGAGAGATAAAACTAACCTACACATAACAATTGAGAATATTTGAGTAGCTGCAATCCTGTTTAGCAGCTATATATTTTAAATGCTTATTTCAAAAACACTATAACCCAATAGTGGAAATTTGGAAACATCACCAAGAATCCTGCCATCCTAATTCATTACTGTTTCAGTCCCCACCTCCCTATTTAAGTCTTGATCTTCATGAAGACAGAGTTTTTAACACGCTTATCTGACCCACACAGGTTGAGAGCAGTGCAGGTGATGGACACTGTGCTGCCTATGTAACACAAACATGAATGCTGTAGACAATGTTTGAATCGGTTCTCTCCCCTATGTTGAAATCCTAAACCCCAAGGTGATGGTGTTAGGAGATGGAGCCTTTGGGAGACGCCTAAGTCATAAAAATGGAGGCTTTATGAATGGCATTAGTACCCCTATAAAAGAGACCCCAGAGAGCTCCCTCACCCTGTCTGCCCTGTGAAGACACAGTGAAAAGACAGCTGCCTATGAACCAGGAAGTGGGTTCTCACCAGACACTAAATCTGTGGGTGCCTTGATCTTTGACTTCCCAGCCTTCAGAACTGTTGAGAAATACACTTCTGTTGTTAGCTACTCGGTTTATGGCATTTTTGTTATAGCCTGAACAGACTAAAACAATGATTTCAACCTCATCAGCTGCATGGCTTGGTCAAACTACCTAATCTCCTTGAGCCTCATTTTCTTTAATGTTAAATGTGGAGGGTGCTAGCCTAACAACATTGATGTGAGGATTAAATGAGATAATGCGTGCAAGTCACTTAGCACAGGTTGGCACCTAGAAGGGCTCACTCAAAGCAGTATTTCATTTGAACAGTATTTACAATCCAGTCAGGAAGTACGATAACTGCACAAATAACTATAACACATTTGGTGGAGAGTTAGTAGTAAAGATATCATGGTAAGTGAAATTAGGGGAGGATAAGATTTAGAACAGCAGAGATGGAGGGGAAGGGTAGTCCAGGTGGACAATAGGTGAACCGGAGCCTGGAGATGCAAAAGCACACTGTGTGTTTAGTGAAAAATAAGCAGACTGGTTTGGCTGGAGCATAGGGTATGCTGAGTATAGCAGTGGAAGTTTACGTTGACTGATGCCCATTCATGCTGAACTGAGTTAAAATCTTGGAAATACTTGAATATCAGATTGGGGAGTTAGTGTTTAATTGATTTGGGAATAAGTGTTTGGAAGAGGGAATAATGTAAGATCTGCTTTTTTTTTTTTTTTTCAGTTAGAGTGAGAAAGAGACTGCACAGAGGAAGGTTTGTTAGAAGATCACTGTTAATAGTCTAGATAATCAGAAATTAGGATCTGATTTAGGGGTAATGGACAGAACTGATGGGAAAGGATAGAAGTGAAGCCAAGGGAAGATAGAATCTCTAAGGCTAGGCTATGGTGAGGTATAGGGGTGATAGGAGCACCAGGGGTAGGGGTCAAAAAAGTGAGTCAAGGCCAGGTTACTGAAAGATTGGCCATTAACAGGTCAAGGTGACCACTTGGAAATCAGTTTTAGTATGAAGGGGGTGTTGTGGGCAGAAGCCATTTTACACGAGGTTAAAGAGTGTATGGGTAAGTGAAGGGTGGATACCCATTTTCAGATGTTAGAGAGGTGAGGACTGAGAAAAAGACCAAGCTGCTGATTGTTTCTATTAGATGATTGCCCAGAGATCAGTTTTAGTACAGACTGGGCAAGTAGCCCAGTTTATTTTAACCAAAAGAAAAGGAATAATGGGGGATAGAATTAGCAAAATAAATTGGACATAGATCATGGGGGGGGGCCTCGAAATTGTTTACAGTTTACTCTGTAGACCACTTGAGAATTCTAGTGAGCCCCAGGTGTGAATAAGCCATTAGCCCACAATGCCTGTAGGACAGTGGCTGTGTCTCCCTGGCATACAGCAGAGCGTTCCTGTGGGATGCTCAGAATGTACTCATTGTTGAAAACGTGGCTTTATTGAAGGAGTTTTGGTTGGATACTAACATGCTAAAATCTCCTTTGGGAAGGTTGAGAAAATTTGTTGGTAATGATGGTGAGTAGAATAAGAATTGAAAGAGGGCTAGCTGAATGAGTTGGAGGAATTGAAGTAGGCTTTATAAAGGAGGTAAGGCTTGGCTAAATTAAAGGGGGAAACAGCGTAAGCAAAGATGAGGAGTCAGGAATGAGTTGAGGATGGCATGATGACTTCTAAGGAGATTGTACTTTGGGGTGTTTTAAGAAATGAGATTCCAAAACATAGGGTCCAGAATGGTTTAGGGGGTCTAAAATTGGTCAGATATCTCTTGTTACATAGCAAATGACCTCTGATCATACATGAACTCAAGATTTGCAGTTTTAAAAATTGTCTACCTATGTTTTTCATGTAAGAACTTTTAGTACAATAAGAAGGACAAAATTGGATAAGATTATTCTGAGCCTAAGAAGAATTAATAACTCAAGAATGCCTAAACAAAGGGAATATTAAATCAGATTTATTTTGGATTGTGTTCCTTTCAAATTTATTAGACAGTTGAAATATGACTGAGTACAGCTGCATATATGAAATGGGAATATGATTGGCAGTGTTATCAATTTTAGTTAAAACAAATGTAATGAAGAAAGCAGAACATTTTCTGAAGACCACACAGGAAATTGTATATTCTTATTGAAGCTTGACAGTTTATCCCCCTTTCAGGAGGTTGGGCCCTCCTTGATTACATGTTTAGGTTAAGGTGCAACCCAGACACACCTGTCCCCTTTGCAAAGTGTTCACAGATGGTCTACCAGCAATTTCTACTAGTATCTATTGGCCAGAACTGGGTGACATCGCCACCTTCGCTGCAGAGGCTCTGGGAATATACAGTATTATTAAATAATTTACTACTTCCCCAAGGTGGGGGGAAAACAAAGCTCTATTTTTAAGAAAGAAAGGGAGGAAGTTCCCTGGTGGTCCAGAGGTTAGGACTCGGCACTTTCACTGCTGTGGCCCAGATTCAATTCCAGGTCAGGGAATTAAGATCCTGCAAGCCATCATTCGGTACAGCCAAAAAAAAAAAAAGAAAAAAGAAAAGAAGGAAAGAAGGGGAGAAAGAATATGGGGAGAAAACTAGAAAAATATCTGTCAAAAGTGTTTATTGTGTGTTCGAATGTCTATTAGAATATGTCTGTATGTATTAATTTGGATGTTTGTGTGAGCCTAATGTGTGAGTTAAGGGCAACAGAATCGGTTATAAATTCACCCAGTAAATATTTGTTTCTTGGCAAAAAAAAATGCATGTGAAGATGAACGAGCCACTATCACTGCCCTTGAGGAGCTGACAATCTAGCTGGGGAATCAGGCATGTATGTAACTCTAAATGGAAGCTTTGGATCATCTACCCCACCCCCAGTTACCCTCAAGTGCTCTCATCTGTAGAGGTGACAGTCATTTTGTACCATGTGATCTTGTCCACCCACCATCCACTCTACCCAGACACTCTTGACATCTAAGCTGGGTCAACCAATTCCTTCCCACTCAAAACAGAGATAGTCACTCTCTCCTTGTGTGGCTAAAACTCTAACAGGTAAACTCAGTAGCTGAGGGACAGCCATGTTTTTCCATAAGGACCAGAGAGCAAAAGAGAATTGATCTTCAGCAGGTGAGTGAATCACCTTTGGACAAGAGTAGAGAGATGGTTGTATGAGTCCCTTCCTCAGGCCCGGTTGCCTGCTTGCCCTTGGGTCCTAGGAGTTACTTTGTTATTTTTAAAATCGATTTTCTATTAAGCTAGTCTTTTTTTTTTAATTTTTAAATTTTTTAGTGGTGCAGCGCAGCTTGTGGGGTCTTAGTTCCCCCACCAAGGATTGAACCTGGGCCCGGGCAGTGAAAGCACCGAGTCCTAACCACTGGACTGCCAGGGAATTCCCTTTATTAAGCTAGTTTAAGTTACCCTTTTTTTCAACCAAATAATCCTTATTAACACACCAGAAAACTATAGGATGCACTGAATTGACAGCTCAGGACAGATCAGATGGATCATGACCAAGCATTCAGTCTTTACTAAGGCCCAGTAGCAAGTAAGAGCTGTTTCTTAAAAGGAGAGTCATTATCTGCAGAGGATAGCACAGCCTTGCTCCAAAATCCTAAAGGTCTATGCTGTGTTTTGCCTATAGGGATCTGCCAAAGGCTTCATGCAGTATTTCCATCTGCCCACAGACACTTCCAACACCATCATAGTTGCTAGATGTTATGACAAGTAGCAGAGCAGCTTGCATGGCAGCCTGGACCTACTGCAGAGCCTTCTCTTGTTCTGAGCGCCACTCGACACTAACAGCTTTTTTAGGTCACTCAATAAATGGGCCAGAGTAGCACTCTCAAATAAGGTATATGTTGCCTCCAAAATCTAAAGAGGTACACTAGGCATTGTGTCATTCTTGGAGATAAGAGGGACCAGGTGAGACAACCTGTTCATTATCTTGAAAGTGTTATCTCAAATGCTCCAAACCACTAGACCCCCACAAATTTTACTTTGGAGGGCTCCAGAATTT